GACAAAAATAGAAGAACTGGAAATGATATTGGAAGACCAGAATCAGCTACACTGTTCATAAATTAATTAAAATGCGAGTCAGGGAAAAAATTAGGTCCAGTTGATTTTTTTAGACTACTGCCAGAAGGGTTAAGGTTGCTTTAGGGGCTCAGGTATGTGGGAGGATTACTGTATAGTAAGCCACAATTCAGAGATAAAAATAAGCATTTATGAGACAGTTCTTGAAGTGATGGTATTGCTAATTTATAGTTATGTGTTTCTTTACTCTTGCAGCAGTAGTTTTGTGCTGAGGTGGTAATTTATTATGAAATTGCAGGCTAATAACTTGCATTTGGTCATGTGTTTGCTCCAGACCACTCTCCACTGCCTTTCCCCAGCTCCTGGCATCCTGTCTCAAGGCTACCCTTGGATCCAGCTCTGTTGACTCACACTTCACACACCACTGCTGGTGCCATCTGCCCAACCTTCACTCAGGTTGTTCTTCTCAAAGTTCCTCAGTTTGATCAAGTCCTGCCCAACATCACTTGGTAAAAATCAGAGACCTGAAAGGGTCTGAAGATGTCCTGCTTGTACTGAACAGTTCTGCCAATAACCACTGACACCATGAGCAACTGCAGGCTGGGTGAGGCCAGACATAGGTGTAAGGCTTTAAGAAGCACGATGGCCATTCAAAATAAAATAACACACTGCTTTTGGAGTACTTGGGGGCTCTGAACTTGGGGGCTCTTAGTTCATGCTGGTTGAGGAAACTTTTATTTTAAGAAAAATGACATTTTCATACTAAAAAGGTTCCAAGCTAAATATTTAAAACTTTAGGGCTGCTGGCAGTAACAGAAGGTTTCTCTCTGACAGAAAGTGTCTCCCAGCTCCCTCCAGCAGGCAAATGGTGACTCAGAGGGCTACAGCTCTTCAGAACCTCGAGCCAAAGGAGCCTCCTGGGCAGTCAGTCCCATTTACCCTTGTGTTGTGCTTCCCTTTCCTGCTCCCTCTCTGTGTCTGCCCCCTCAGTGAGTGTAACCTACAAACCCCCTCTCACACTTCATTTTCCAAGATTTTCCCTGGATGCTTATGTTACACACAGACAGGTTTCCTCCAAAACAGATTTTCCTGGGTGAAGGAAATGCAGCAGATTCAAGCTACAAAGACAGGTATCCAGGGCTGTTCTTCTGCTACATTATATGCTGCTTCCCTTTGCTGTTGTGACCTTAGACTCTCCTCCCTGGTCTACACTGTGGTCAGAGCAAGCAGCCTGCAGCCTTTCAGCACACCTGGCCATAGCTGCTCTATTTGCTGCTCCCAAATGAGAGGTGCCCATCCCATTTTACAGAGCTATTCACGATTTGTGTTGGCAGAATTTCATGCACACTTCCTGCACACTTCCCTAAAAGATGCTTTTTCCAATTTAGCTTCCAGCTGAACGGCTTTACTTGATATTTTTGTCTGTCCACTTCCACTAGCCAGGTTGCATGTGCAGTATTATCATTCTAAAGGAAAACAAAAATAAATACTTCATTTTCACTTGGTGCTCCATATGGATTATCTTAGCTTTCTTTCCAGTTCTCACGCTGAGAGTGTTCAATACATTTTCCAGTTATCTTTAGTTCTTCTAAAATACCTTCTGCTTAACCATAAAACTCACCAAAAAACATTGCTGGAGAGCTTTGAAAGCCGTCTATTTCTCCTCTCTAAGCGCTGCTTGCAGGGAGCCATTGCTTGTTGAGCTGTCTGGGTCCCCTTGCTGAGCACACAGCAGCTCCCAGGCTCAGTGGTGCACTCACTCCCTGTGCTGCTGCTGCTGCTGCTGCTTAGCATTTCCCCCCAGTGGCAGCCCCTGATGAAGAAGAGGCCATAAACTTCCTTTTATAGAAAATCCACATGTGTAATAGATACTCCAGCAGAGTTTTGTAAGCTGGGACATTGGGAATGTGGAAGGAAGTTCCAGTGCAAAAGCACAACCCCCTGGGATGTGCACATAGAAACTGCAGTGACATTTACAGGTGCTCTGTGTCCCCCCCAGGTGGGAATTAACAGCAAAGCTCATACTTTCCCCCATCCACCTGAACAGAAACATCTTCAAGAAAATCTCTACAAGAGAGCAAGGCTTAAAAAGAGCCAAAACATCTTCAAGGTTTCTCAGACACTCCTGCCTCCATAAGTACTTAAAGTGGGGCTGCAGGGAGAAAGCTTTGGAATTGGTAATGATGGATGGAGCTGCCAAAGTTAAGCTTGTTTTAAACCCACACCTGTGCCATGGTGCAACTTAAATTTGATTTTGGCTGTGCTACATAAGGACTTGAACTTAATTAGGAAGGGGAAAGCAGGAATGGAAATGGAAAAGGAAAGGAAAAAAAAAACCAAAAAGACAAGGCTTGAGCACATGTATTTTACAGATACAGCTGTGCATGAGCGTCTTGATAGCTACTTCTGACAGACTTCAGAAGTTCACTTTCCCTAATGCCTTTTTTGGATTTCTCATAGGTTTTTACTCATCCTGTCTTTCACAAACAGGAAAGGTTAATTCCCCCAGCTGCCACATACCAACACAGAAGTTGTGGTGAATTAGAATGAAAGAAGCACAGACTCAATCTTCTAGGTGAAAAAGACTTGTATTGGCTGAGATTCTCTATATGTGTGTTGCAATTAAACCCCTGACACCACTGGCAGCAATAAATACCATAGCAACACAGCATCCTTCCCAGCATTTTCTGGTTGGATACACAGCCTCTCTAACCAGCCCAACTCCTGGAGCAGAAGGCAAGCACAGAGAGCAGCTCCTCAGCCTCAGGGTTGGGGCACAGTGGGCACTTCCCACTGGGTGAGGGGCCCAGTGCTCTCCCTGAGTTTGGGTGGGGTCTCCTGAGCATTGCCCTGCACCAGGCACACGCTGAACAGGAATAGTTTTGATGTTTCCTCAGTGCTCTGGGAGCAAATAAACCCCATTGCTATTGCACACATGTGTGAGGGGAGGAATTTGCTGCAGTTCAGTGCCACTGGCTCTCACAGCACAGAGGAGCTGGATTATGCTGATTGTCTTTATCCCATTGCAAAAAAGCACCAGAGTGCTTCCAAGTTTAACACAGACACTAAAATGCACCACAGAGCAACCAAAGAGCCTCCATTGCCAAGTGCAGAACTTAAAACTGTGTAGGCAGCACCCACCTCCCCACAAGCTGAAGCATTGCTGACTGTCCCCAGGAGTTCCTGCTGCTGCCCCAGGACCACACACCCCCTGGCAGGGGTCCCCAGCAGCTGCACACTAACTCATAACCAAGCAGAGGAACCTGCAGCTATTTCTGAGAAAAACCAGAAGCCACAGCACCCAGCCTGTGCTTTAGAAACCTCCTGTCCCTGCTGTGCCTGCGCTCCCAGGTGGAGGGGCTGAGGAGCAGGGGCTGGTGCAGGTGGCCTGGGGCTGCTCCCAGCTGCTGGGGCTGCTGCTGCCCAGCTGAGCACAGGGGGGTGGGCAGCGTGCACAACACCAGCCCTTGCAATCTACCACCTAAATCCGAGCAAAAACTGCTGTAGGTAATTACCCTTGGTTTGAAATGCTGTGGGGCTGCTGGGGGGAGAGAAACTCTGATGGGGAACACTGTGTGGCTGGTGTTACCCCTCCTGTGCTCACTGAGGCTTGGAGCACTGCCAGAGAGGCTGCAAAGAATGCAGTAGCAAAGACAATAATAAAGAATTCAGAAAATGAGAACAACAGCCTCTAGAGACCTCAAAAGAAAAAAAAACTACAAAAAAACCCCCAACCAACCAACCAAAAAACCACCCAAAAAAAACCACCAACCCACAACCAAAATAAAACAAAAAGATACCCCACACAACAAAACAGAAAAACCCAAGTGAAAGTACATGCCCTCACTATGGTAATTTTCCCTTTTCTAGTAAGGATAAGGACACTGTATAACATGATGCAAAAGAACGCTGGATTTTCACCCTGGCCAGAGAAACAGTGCAAGTGACGAGAGCTCCTGTCACAGCACACAGGACAGAGGATGCAGAAATGCTGCTAAAAATAGCTCCTCATTGTGCTGCTCTCCGTGCAGTTCCACCCCAGCTCAGCACTCTGACAGCTCCTGCTGCACTGCTGTTCTTTTGGAGATGAGATCCACAATCCCATGGAGGGTCTTGGTGACAGCCACATTCACCAGGCCCTTGGGGGAGAGGATGGACAATGAGCCACAGAATTGGCTGCAAAGCTCACAGGGCCCAGGCTGACACCCTGAAGACTAAAACTTTGTATGCACTTCCAGCACGGCCTCTGGCCTGCAGGAATGACTGCTGGCTGGGATCCTGTCACGTGTGTCCCTCCTGATCTGAAAGGATCTCCCATCCCCATGACCTTTGGTTATTGATTCCTTTGCTGAGGTAGCCAAGAAAATAATATTCATTGCTGCCTGTTGCAGCAGTGTCACTGCCAGGGGCTCCCTCTGAGGGGTTTGTCTTTGTGTAGGTCCATGGTGAGGTCACGTTCTTCTGCAAGCAGGTGACAGGAAAGCAGAAGGTTCTTTGATCTCTGGTTTCCATGAGTTTTGTAAAAGTTCTCAGATACTGCAGCAGTGAACACAGTCTAAAACACAGACCAACTACAGACATGTGTGCCTTCAGGGCATGGGATAATAATTTCTGACAGGCCACAGCCTGTGATGATCTCTGGTGATCTCATTTTGCTCAGCAGATACCTGGGCTAGACTGAGGTGCACAGCACAGGACACTGCCTGGGGTGTCAGGAAATTCACTTTAAAGGGCATCTGAGTTTAGTTTACAGTGAGCCTGGAAATGTGAATCCCTTTGCACTGATACACAGCAGAAAGAAATCTGAAAAACAACCTGAATCATTTACAACCAAAGCAATAATATCCCACTGCTCCATTGATAACACTTGAGATACAAACCATTAGCAACAATATTGCTAGCCAGAAGTTCCAGAGAGTAATTTAAAACCACCTTGCTGATCTTACATATTCAACACAGAGAAAAGCACACCAAAGCAACTGTAATGTATAAAATAGTTTATTACTATAATAAATAAAATTAAACTTCTTTTTTTACAAATATTATTTGTGCTTGTTTAAAAATGTTGACTAGGGATATCATTAATGGAGGTGGCTGCATTTGAATCTGAAACATTCCCAGACAGTGTGTATACATACATACACACAATGTCTATCTACTGGCAGCTGCTTTGCTGACCACAAAAATAGTATCTACTCATTCTCTGTTTCTAGTCATGCTTCATTGAACAAAGTGACAAATGCAAAGAAAAAGAACTGAGAGTATTTGGTGGATTTCTGAAAGGATAAAAACAAGTGAAGTACATTGAAAAGCGCCAAAGCAACTGCATTAACTGCATATCAATCAAGTGTCCATGCAGTGGTGGCTAAATATTGAAACGCAGACAGGTCTCCAACAGATGTACAAATATTGATTGTATGTAGGTACAGTAATATAACACATTCATTGGAAAACTTGGTATTTCTTTATATAGCAGTTCATCCTGATACAAGATTATTGAACTTCTTTCATCTACAGCTAAAATTATTCTTTTTCTATGTTAGTGGTCACAGATTTTGTGGGAAGAAGAAAGAAACCCGTGAGCCTTTCAGAACAGTTAGTGAAAACCCCGAACTGTTTTGTTAACATTAGGCATTTGGATCCAGTTACAGAGATGTTCTGGGATTACACATCAAATATGTTTACACAACACTCAACAATCAGCTTGAAACAAATTACAGTTGCAGGTAAATTCACATTAGCTTTGTTGATCTGTAAAAGCCTCTGAAACACTTTTGCAATATGACGGGTTGGCTCCCTGATATACAAAAGTGTTTAGACAATATCTATGTCTCTTTGTTTTATGAGGGGAGAGGGCAATTGGAGTAATTAATTATCCTAATAAGAAGGCAATAAGTGGAGAAAGAAATGTGATTACCAGCAAGTGATTTCCATTAGACTTAGAAAGCTAATCAAAGTGCTTCATCTTTAGGCAACACTGTAAATACTACAGAACATTAAGAAGGAAGAAGAATGGAATCACAGTTTGAATTATATCACTTATGAAAGGGTCTTAAGGCTAAATGCTGGATATATCTTATTGCAAAAAAAGCTTTATTTTTATTTAATTGAATCAATGCTTCCCACAACAATGTGGTCAAAATGATGTCAGATTGGAGGATACAGTATCCTACTGTGCCTCACCTCAAATTTCTGGAGCTCCCCCTGCATGGGACTCTCTCTGAAAGGTTTGTCTTGATGTATCACAAGTGCAGAAAAAACACAGACTTTGTTATTGCCAATACACCCACAGGAGACTATGTGGAAATGAAAAATTCAGTAGAAGATGCTTTTTGCCACGTAACACCAGGACAAGAAAGCAGAGCTGCAGCAACCATGTGTTATGCTGCCCATGAGAAGAAGGATAGGCTCAGCACCTTTGAGACAGCCCCTGGTACCAGAAAAAAATAAATCCATCTATTCCACCATCTCTCTTGCAGGAAAAGCCATGATGAACACTACCAGGGCAGCTTGGCTTCAGAGATACTGTGAGCAACACCAGCTTCTAAGCCTTATCCCCACCAACTAGGACACAGCATTTTTTGCAGTTTCACAGGGATTTCTCTTTCCTGACTATCATGACCCTCACCAGATCTTCTCTTAGTCACACTATTTACCAGACTCACAGTATGAAGTTGAGGCCAGCTAGAAAAATCAAAATTCATGGCCTTAAAAGTTCAACAGTTAACAAACAAGACACTAACAAGACACTCAGTGGATGTCTGCTGGGAAGATTTAAGCTCCCCTCTTGGACTGGAATCGATGAGGAATGTGCTTTTACTTAACAGAAATGCAATCCATAGACTTATCTATACACAGATCTTACATATATATATGTGTGTATGTACACGCATCTGCACAAGCGTAATCATACACCTCGTTGTTTATATAGCAAAGACAAATTATGTCGTCAATTTTTTCACAGATTGGTTAAGAGTGATTGAAAATATATCACCAGATAGTCACAGTAAGTATCTTGTTCAGTTCATTAAGGGAAGTGCTGCAGAAACAGAGCATCGCCTCCGGAGCTGTTTAACAGGGTGTTCGCTGGGGCTCAGGGCAGAACTGTGGAAGAGATTTAAAGGAAGAATGGTGTTTTCACAAGTATACTTGTAATACCAGACAGAAGTAAATGTATCTGAACAAGGTAAGGGTGAGGGCTGGGGTTTGCTTTTTTAATCCTTTTTCATATGCTGCATATTTGTATTCTTTGTAACCATTTAAGCATGAACTTTCAGAAGTTCCCATTTGACCAAATCATAATACAGGCTCCTTCCCTCAACTACCTTCTTTTCGCTGGAATTTAATTACACCATATAGTCAGAATGGAACACATCATCTCCTTTAGAATGATGCAGGTCGTTTAGCAGGTTGTTAAATGGCAGAAGCACTATGCCAGAACACAGTCAAGACTGAGGCTTTGGTTTTTGTTTGGGTTTTTTTGTTATACCATCTACAAGCATTTCCTTGTGAAGGGGCAGAGTCTTATTTTCAGAGATCCTTCAGTTCTAAGCTGGAAAATAATTAAGTGAAAAGGCTTAGCCAACATGTAGAGAGAACAAGAGAAATAGGAAAAGCTGACAAATAAAATCAAAGAACTAATAACAATTCTGATGGGTCCACATGCCATCCAGCCATAGGCATCTGTCTGAGTGTAAGGCTCAGTGGAGAAAGACAGACTTGTAACACAGGGGCTTTTTGCCACTCTTTAAAGGAAAAGTGCTGCATCAGCAGAGCCTGAGCACCATAGCACAGGTTCAGATTAGCTTGGGGTTCAAAGGAGTGGGCATGGATTTGTTAATTTTTTAACCACTCAATAGTCCAGGGAATCCAAACTCCAAAACTCATCCTAGATGGTAATTTTTTTCAAATTCTCTTACAACAAATACAGGTTGCTGAGGGATGATGTACTCTTCTACAACCAGTGTTAGTGCCTGACAGTTCATAATAATGGGCCTAATCTCAGTTACAGCTGTGCAGGTCTGACTGGCACTGACTCCTGTCAGGGCTCACCTGGAGCAGACACCCTGAAATGTCATTGTAAGGAGCAAGCAGAGTTTCTCTGCCATTTCCTGACCATAGCAAAGTTAAATTAGGCCATAATCTTCAAAGACAGTAAGTTTTAAGTAGAATTCAGATGTGTGTTACAATCTTTGAGGGCTTTACAAATAATAAATGTCTTTATAGGCCATTGTAAGAGCCTGAAAAAAGCCTTAGAAAAGGACTGGGTTCACCCAATCACTGTTATACAGGGTGGGGAGGAGTTTGGTATCATTCTGAGCATCAGGCTACGCAAGGAGCATCCCCAGAAAATGGGGACTTGTCTGCCTGTGTTCACAGCTTGGGCAATTATTACAATTAGGGGGCTTCTGGGGCTGGTCCTGGTGGGATTCCAGGCTGGGCAATCAACAACAGCAGAATAACCTTTGACATATCCCTGAGGGCACACAAAAATATCACTGAGAAACAATTCAATTCAGTATCAGCAACAAAGGGCTGGTAACCTGCAACTGCACATTTACTTTTAGGTTTGCACTGCAGTTCTGGAGATACTAGGCACATTCTTGGGAGGCTGTAAACATTTCCTCCCTTATCCACCTGGGATAAGCTCAGGTCCATGTTTATCCAGCTGCAGGTAAATGGGTGACACTTTCACAAAGGACTTGCTAAGACCTTTAGCCTTTCAAAACCTTTATGAAGAGAAGTGTTGTGAATGTCATGCTGGTGAGGAATTTGCCTGGATCAGGAAACTGACTCCAAGGCAGTCTCTAAAAACTTGCTGAAAATCAGTTACAAATCCTTGTGTATCAGTACACCTGGGGTTTACTTAGGTAGTAATTACTGTCTAAGAAGACCAGAAAGAAAAAAAATCATGACAAAGTTCTTCACAGAAACTCTGGATGGATGGGTTTCTCACAGAAACTGTGGATGGATGGGTTTCTGTGGCAGCCATGCCACTGCTGTTGCAGGTACCTGCTGCCACTTAGAGTGACTAAAGCACCAAACACAAAGCGTGGCTTTGGTCAGAGAGTGCCTTCCTCAGCACTGCAGGTCTGCAGTGAGCAACTGGAAACGACACCAGGTACCACTGGAAAAACCTAAACATGGAACTGGAAATAAGTTAAGGAAGTACCTTCTTGGTTTCAGAGCAACTCATCTCCCTGCTTGCATTTCCTTGTGGGAGGGAAGAAGGTAACCTACAGATATGAACCTGGGAGTTGTTTTTCAGGAGTATTTAAATCCTTGGGTATGAATTCACAGTCTGTGGGTACCTCCATACCAAACCAAGGAGAAAGGCAATAAAAGCCAATCCTAAACCACCTGCCTCTGGACTAAGAAATGGTGGTGCTGGCCTGGAATAATTGTTATCTTTGAGAGCAAGGGCAGTTACTGCAGGAACAGGTAGAAACAACCACTCCTGACAGCAGGACCTGAGCTGGGAGCTTTGCAAGGCACAGCCTCACCACTGTGCCAGTCATCTGTGGACGTCCCAGCTCCCCAGGGATGTCTGGCACTGTTCTGCACTGCCCTGTGCAAGCATCAGGCCAGCAGAAATCACTAAAATTGATTGTGTTCCTTGCTCTTCTGTACTTAACATGAACAAAAATCTTCCAACCAAAAAATCCCGTGTTTCTTTGTAAATGACTTAGTACCAAGGAAAAAGAATGAGATTTAACACACACAGTGTTAAGACCAGTTGACATGAAAGATGAAAACCCCTTAAAGTGTGGTATGGCACCATGCTTCTGAGATCTAAGCTACTGTTAACCAGTGAACATACCAGCTCAGTGGAGTGAATGTACTGTGAATATACACCTGTATCCCAAGGTGAGAACACAAGTCGTGATACCATCTATGTTACCCTATATGAATAATGAAGAATAGTTTTGGTAAAGTGCTTCAATCTTCCTCTGAAAAAAGTTATGAAAATATAAGTTTTGGAAACATCTCCTTCTTTAAGAAGCAGATCTCTTTGTTTCCTTGCTACAATAGCACTTGCATACAGTAAGCACTGAATTTCTGTCTCTACTATCCATTTGCTTCCAAGCTAGATTAGATCAGGAACAATACACCTGGATGTAGAGGAAAATGCCACTGTCTGGCACTGTTAAAAATTCTGTGAAAGCCTTTGGCTTCAATGAATATTATCAAAACAGAAACTTCTGAATAATAATATAACAAGAATTAAAAGAGCAGATTCGTAGCAGAACAGGACATAAATGCCACAGTATATTTTCATTGGGAGGCAAATCTGCAGGACCTGTTAGTGATGTTTCAAATATGTTGTGCTGAGACACTTCACACCCAACCCTCCAGCAGCTGGAGTTGAAAGCAGAAGTATCAAATGTTGAAAGACATCTGAGACAGAAGAGAAGTTTTTTGAAAAAACATAAAAAGGTTTGAAAAAAACATATCTTTGATTCAGTGAATGATTGAGGAAGGTCCCATTTATTAATAGATCTGAAATACTGTGGCTATTTTTGAAGATGTTGCCAAATGTAATTGTTTTAGCAGTATGTCAGTTTGAAATTAAAAACCACAATTTTTTTTTCATCTTATTAGCCCTTCCTTGACTACCCAAAAGAAACTTAAGCACACAATAAAATACATGTCTCCTACTGCTCTTTGCATTATTACAGCTTTATGAAAATATACTGTGACATCCAACATGTTGTAGAGGTGACTGAGACAGTGACAGCAGCAACAAAACGAAAAAACAAACAACCCACCAAACACTGAAAAGATAAGCACCCTGGCAAGTGCTTATTCATATAGGCATAACCCGAGCTAAGGACATAAGGCATGCTCCAAAAACCTCAGAGATCACCTGGGGCTCACGGGGATGGCTGCTGCTGTCAGAATTCTTATTCGAACATCCCGAGGGAGAGAAGGGGCCTGGGGGGGGAATGAGGACAAAGGGAGGAAAGAAAAACTTTAGAAACTGTACCCTTGCTGTCAAAAAGGCTTCAAAGTCAGCTGCCATCTTGACATGAGGTTGCAATTCCTGTTACCATACCTTTTTAGACAGAGGGAACATGCTTAGTGAACAGATCCCTCATTTGTTTTCAAGAAAGATTAAATGTAAAGTGTTAGGGGGCTGTTTCTTTGTTTGTTGGTTTGTTTGTTTTTAAAAAGAAACACCTCAGCTAGCTCCAAACACGTCTTTTTCTGATTCTGGAGACTGGGGCCTCGATATTTCAAACAACTCCTGGGGTGACTGGGAGCTTCTTCTTGAGGTCAATATCCTAAGTATCTCAGCAAGCTGGTTTTCTATATTGGTCATTTTTGTGTTTAAAGCCTTGATGTCCTCTTTCAACTCATGCTTCACTTCTAGCATGGTGGCCTGAAGAGTCTGTTCTGGGATGGGATAAAAGGAATGCTTGACCTCGGTGAGGACCGGGCTGTGGTCCTGCGGGCTTCTCGTCTCCCCAGCGTTATCCAAGCGCAAGTCACTTTTTGTAATGCCGCTGTCACAAGAGTCTGTCTTCTTCAGGGTAGCTTCTCCTGAAGCTTTAGTTCTCTCAGGTAAAGTCTCCATGGACTCTGCTTTAGAGACCTTGTTCCAGTCTTCGCCCTTCCCACAGGCCTCCTTGAACTTGGCCCAGCCTTTGCGCCGGGGGTACTCCCCCGAGGCCTTGCAGGCCGCGTGCTCCGCCGGCGGGGCCTGCAGCTTGGCCTGGTCGGAGGCCGCGGAGGTGGAGGCGGGCTGGTAGGACACGGGCGTCGCTGGGCTCTCCCGGACCGTCACCACGCTGGCCTTGACCACGGTGCGAGCGGAGGACTGCTCCCCGATGGCATTGCCCTTCTCCACATCCAGCTCGTCCGGATCGCGGCCCCTCTCTGCCGCGAGCCGCGCTTCCTTCTGCTGCCTGAACCGCTGGAACAGCCGCCGCACCGGGTGGTCCGGGGGCAAGATCAGGGGCGCTTCGTTCTTCCTCTTCATCCTCTCCTCTTCTTCCCGCTTGACGTCGCTGATTTTCCGGAACACAATCTACAGGGAGAAAGAGATTTCACTCTGTGATTAACTGCACGCTTGTTAAGGGCGAAAAGTTGGAGAAAGAATTGTTTGAAAGAATCTATTTTAACTGAGACTTGCACAACCTCTGCACATTTATAGCAACATTTTCAAATGTCTTACGTTGTGTGGAATGTGGCTTATTTCATTATTTAAGAGCAGACACCATCTGTCTTATAATACCAAAAAGAAAAAAAACCAGAAGAAAAATACTTCTCCAGCTCTGACAGTCAGAGTAAGGCAGTGCCATTGTAAATATAAAGATCCCAGGAAAATACTTGTTCTATTTTGTGTTAAAAAGTGACTTCTTGTATTCATTTTCCTGACTATATGGTTCAGTACCAAGTTTCTAATGTTACAGAGCCATTCCCATCAGTCTCATCTCAGAGCTCACTCACTGCAAATGATCTGATACTATTTCAGTGCAGCTTGGCCACTCGTGGTGCCAGTACAGCAGAGACTACTCTGGACTCTTCAACAGCAGTTTGCAAAGTGCTTCTTGCCCTCCCTTCCTCCCACATATTCTTTTAGAAGCAACACACAGTTTAAGGATGCAAAGCTTGAGTCAATCCCAAAGCCAGGGGCATAAGGACAATGGGAGATAGGCTTGGCAAGACATGGGGTAGTTGCTCATGGCTTGATTACCTCAGAAGCTTGTAGAGCTTCATGCCTTAATTTATCTCTTTATTTCTATGCAAAAGAGAACATTTTTGCACAAAGAAGCATTAATTTTCCATCTACCCTCCTAATTATATCTTCCTGAGCCTCTAAGGCTAAGTGATCTCTACAGGAGCAGCCCAAGGATCCCTCCCACAGGTTGAGATGCTATGAGGCTTCTACTGAAAAAAGCCTCACAGCATCTCAACCTGTAGCCATGCAAGGTTTCTTCCTTGCATGTGATGGAAATGCATTCCCTTCAAAAAGTCTGTGCATTTTACATTAGTATTGGCATTTTCCAGGCCAATGAAGAACCAGTAAGTAGCCTAATTTGAAAATGAGAGGTCCCCAAAGCTAAAGTTTGCAATACAGAGGGTAAAAGATGCAGCCCACAGCTTCTACTGAACATTGATACCTAATCCCTTTAGCTGCTTTGGGGAAAATCCACTTAAAGACCTTACACTTCAATGCAGAAATAACTTTGAGATTTAAATCATTATTAGGAAATGTGTAAATAAACCCATCCCTCTGTTGCAGACAAATTTAAATTAAACTAAAGTTAATAAGCACTTCTTCACTGGCACACACAAAATGAATGTTTCTCCAGACTCCAATGCTTCTTGACAGTTTTGTCATTGTGAAGCAGGGAAAAAACCATCTTAACAGTGCATCTTTGGAAGGAAGAAGTTGTCAGACTTGGCAGCATTTCCTAAATACAAAAGAATAAAATTAGCAGGAAGGATATTTTATTTCCAAGCTGTAATTATGAAACTAAATATGAGATAAGAATAAGAAAACAGGGTACTTGACAGTCTTTTTTTTCTTCCCTCCAGGAAACTCACTTGCAATGAGCTCAGTAGAAAGTGGACAAAGCAGTGTAATTCTTAGAAGTGAAAGAATAGCACTCACAGTGAAGGGAATTCAATGCAATCCTGCAGGCCAATAGCTTCCCACACACTGGCAGTTTCCCAGTGATCGTGCCAGCCCAGTGTTAGGGCAACTGCCCCTCTTGCTCTGCTGGAGCCAAGTGATGCCAGGCAGGGTCCCAGGGGCTCACTCAGCAGCATCCTGAGGCTGGCTCTGGGGGCACAAAGCCCCAGCACACCAAGGCAGCCACCTGACCAAGGAAGGTCAATTTGTCCCTGCAAAACTCTGTGTCCCTAAGCCTTCCCTCTTCTGGGGTTTGTCTGTTAGGTGTGGATATCCACATCTGTGCCAGATGTAGCTAACAGGGCTCACTCTGTACATGAGCATGTTGTCTTGGTCGGACCTATGGATCAGGACTTGCCTTAAATGCTCAGAAGGGATGTGTGACTGACTGGTGTAGTGGTCACACTCACAGGGATCATCAGGGAAGGCTTTTCAGACCCAGAGGCCAGGATGCTTTGCAGAGTCCATGTCTAGGCCAGACCCTGCTCCACACAGCCCAGTCAGCACTTGTCTGCAAAGTACTTGAGCATCTCTTGCTATTTAATGCCTGGTTTTTGCAACATAAATGGGAAAGTTGTGACAGAAGCTGTCTCTGCTACAACACCATGCAGGAGAGACAGCAATTACCAAGTCTCAAGCAATCAATCCCACATTAACAGCCTGGCCCAGTCCATATTAGCCCTAGCCACTGCACCTCAAGCAGTTAGTAGCATGATCTCTGTGGTGGAGGACACAATAAATTTACCAGCAAATGCAGAAAGGTGAGCACTGATGGACAAGCTGTTGGCAGCACTCACCCACCCACAGCCCCCACTGCTCTCCATGGCACTGCCTGGAGAGCCCCCTTTGGATGCCAGGCATCCTTGGCCATGGAGGAGCTGCCATCAGCCTTCCCACTGTGTGGTGGCCAGCCTGAGAGACCCAAACACACCTTCCCTGCTTTGCCTTCGGGAGATCCCACTGCAGCAGGAGCAGGAATGTGTGTAGAAGGAGATGTATAAACACTGCCTTTGCCATGGGTACTGCCACCACATCCCTGATTTCCATTTTCCACAAGACCTTACACCAGCTCCAAAGGAAGTGCACCAGGGCAGCAGCCACTGCATGAATGCAGAAATGCAGCCCTTGGGTCTCCCACCCTGCCTGACATCTTCTACAGGTACACATTTATGTGGCAAGCTGTGCTCACACAGTGCAAGTCAAACATACACACATTTGCCAGGGGACATCCCTCCAACTCTTGGGCTGGCTCTTTTTACCTGACTCCTGAGACACTGGAGAAACAGCTGAGAGAGCAACTTCTCTTTGGGAAGCTCAGACAAAGCTGTCCCTTGTCTCCCTTTCTGCAAGTTCCCCAGTGCTGAAGTTTTTTCCAGACAGCTCCATATTTATGTTGTAAGCAAAAATATTACAGCTATGCAAAACTCTGCAGTAATTGAAAATGCATTCATAAACTCCACTTTGGATTTTTTTTCTGCCTTTTTTTTAAGATTAAATGCTCCTTATAAACAAAAATACACATAACTTTACAGTTGACTCTTTTCTTATAAATGCTAAGGAAAATATCGTTTTCAAGTTGTTTATTTTCAGCAGCAGCCAAGTTATTCAGAAAATCTGGCTGGTATGCCAATGGATGTACACCTGCTCCCACAAGCAGTAAGAGTACAAAGGAAAAGAAAATAGATTTTATTTGTTATAAGGAAGAGAAGTCTGGACCTACTTTTTCATATGGAATTTGATAGGGCTACAAATTTGACCTTATTCAAAGTTTAAACCCAAAATATTGTTGAAAATATCCCAAGCTAGCTTTTAGAACTACCTCCTTAACCCTTTCTCCAAGCATTCATGTCTGTCTGGGAAGGGACAGAGCTTTACACCCTCAAAATCTCCTAGCCCATGTATCATACACTGCTCAAACACAGGGGACTTCACAAGTTATGCAGTTCTCCAGAACACTGCACTCTTCAAGACCTAAGCACACAGGTCCCACAGAAAAAACTTAGTGGGAGCATTTTAACAGTATGTCAAAACCCAAAAGATGGACCAAGAACCTGAATTGAGATGAAATAACATGAAATTTAAACACCAGGCCTAAAGCTGCATATTTCACACCTCCACTCTCAAGTCTCATTTCATAATTCTGCTTTTATTAAAAAGGTGCTGAATCTTGTACCTCCACAGGGAAGCTGCCCAAGCTGCCAGAAGTTGGAGTATTGTGGAAGTATCAGCCTAGATTTGCCAAAACCTTGAAAAACAGCCCTGTTAGGCACAGATTCTTGCAATTGTATGAACATTTAACCAAGACATGCAGTGATGATGGCTCTACAACAATTTCATTTTTTAGAAAATTCACTCAGAGACAAGTGGAGAAATGCACTGACACGTTCCTGGTGCACTCCTGCTCCTCTGTATCCCTACAGATCTATGACAGAATGCTCTCTGTGACCACAGTCCTGCCTGTGCAGGAGTTCTGTCCAAGAGAGAAAGCGTTATACCAAGCACTTTTCCCTTTCCTCAGTATTATCTAGTTGTGAAGTCTTCAGTGACTTTGGGTGAAGTCACTTAAGTCTGTCTCTTTTGAATCATCATAGAATTTTCAAGTTGTATTTCCAGAATAAATGTTTTTACAAATTAAAGTCAACATATTAAAAAAATGAAGTAGACATAATTGAATACTTGGTTGTCAAATGTGGATTGCCCAGCAACTGTTACAAGAATTTTACTGTGCTCAGCACTGAAACCCAAGCATCATTTAAATAACAGAGTGTGGACATTATTTGCAAATATGACTTTCATAATTTCTTTATGATAAGACCAGGAGAACAAATGGCATTGTGACCCCCAAGATTAAGGCAGGCCATAGGATTGCTCTGAAGGGGCATTCCCTGGAAGGAATCTTGTTACCACTAGATTGCATCTTTTAGAAAAACATCCAGTTTGATGGCAATAAGGAATCCATCATGACATCTAGATGAAACATTGCTTCACTTTTTGATTCAAGGCTAAGTTTCATTGAATAATAGAATTATAGAATCATAGAATGGTTTGGGTTGGAAGGGACCTTAAAGATCGTCCAGTTCCAACCTCTCTGCCATGGGCAGAGACAGCTTTCGCTAGACCAGATTGCTCAGAGCTCCAGCCAACCTGGCCTTGAATGCTTCCAGGAATGGGGCATTCTCAGCTTTTCTGGCAACCCTCACAGTGAAGAATTTTTTCCTATTATCTAATCGAAACCTACTTTCTTTAGTTTGAATCCATGAGTTGAGTCCTGTCACTACAGGCTCTTTTAGGAAGTCCTTCTCCATCATTCTTGTAGATTCCCTTCAGGTACTGGCAGACTACAGTGAGGTTGCCCCAAATCTTCTTTTCTCCAGGCTGAACTTCTCAGC